CCTTTTCTAAGCTAACGGGTTCCAAATATACTGGCCTTTTTTCATAAAGAGTTTGAGCCAGCCAATTGCTTTGTCTTTTTATGAACATTTTCCAGTTCCATTACATTCTCCTCCAATATGACAACCAGAACTGTATGTGGCATTAAAAGTATGGATAGAGTTAAGAAATTTGGATAAGACCATTCCAGATGTTGGCAATTTCTCTCCTTCTCCAGCCACTCAACTCATACTTGGGATTCTCGATGGCTAACATTGAATTAAAAACGAATACAAAAATACCCAGATGAAAATCATAATACAACAGAGGACATCACAATCATTCTCTTAACTTTATGGAGTGGGCTAACATTTTGGCCCAACGCTTGGAGAAAGAGCCAGGTTTTCAAAGCCTTGTGAAAGTTTAGCAGTGTCAAGATCTTTTTTTTGGGGGGGAGGGGGCGATGCTGTTCCATTGGGGAATCACTGCAATAGAGAAGACCCCTTCTCTAGGTTCCTTAAAATGGCACTGTTTCATAGAGGAGATCAGAAGCACGCCCACTCTGCTGGATCAGTCCATTTCCTAGTAATTCTTAGCATGGAATTTGTCAGCTGCTACAATCAGGATTTTTCTAAAGTGCATTGGATATCCCTTAAGAATTAAGAAATCTCTTTCTGATGTTCAACCCTGTGCTCTACTTTGGCTATAGTGATGTTCTGTCTGGACAATATGATGGCTGCCACCTTTGAAAAATACTTGCAGCCTGTACAAACACTGTGACTGGCCAGTTTTGCAAACCAGCCCTAAGTATACATCTTCACTGACCTCTGTACAAAATCCATGTAATACTTTCCAGATGTTAGAAGATAACTCAGACCCTATCAATAGATATGTGAAAGTAGGCGACTTTTTTTCCCCTCCACTGGGCATCTTTTCAAAAATTGCCAAATTGACCATTCCTCCAGTTCAGAGATTCTTCTGGAGCATTTCACAATCATTTTTTTAAACTACCCTTGATACATTTGGCATTGTCCACAAACTTGGCTAGCTCACTGCTTGCTCTCAAAGCAAGATAATTTTAAAACAAATTAAAGATCCTTAACACAGGTTCCTGAGGGACTCCACTTCTTCCTTCCTTCCATTGGGAAAATTGCTCATTTATTCTTACTCTTTGCTTTCTGTTTAACCAATCAGCTATTTATAAAAGGCTGACAATTTTGTGCCCTGATTGCTCAGTTTGCTTAAGAGCTTTGCACAAGACACATTATCAACAGATTTTTGAAAAAAAACGAGTATATAATGTCACTTCTGTCCATGTGCTTTTGACACTCTATCATACAGACCTGAGGAAGCTTGAATAAAAATAATAAATCTCAGAAAAAAATATGCATCTGGAAAACAGCAGCACGCTAGACGCCTCAAAATCCCAAAGAAACTGGGGCTGTCTTAAGCTGACAACCAAAAGCTGATGTTATTTGCACGTTTTTGTTTTTAAAAACAGAGAAAGCAAAAATGCATTTAATGTCTAATTTTGCATTGGATGTTTTTCATCTCTTGCTTTACAATAATTTTGTTCAGACAAATACAATGTAATTCAGTTTGCTTTTTATTTAGCTGAACACATCTGTAGTTAGTAACAGGCACTGATATTAAATCAAATTAAGGCAAATGTGTGATTATATTGCAGTTATTTCTATCGATTTTAACTCTCTCATAATATTGTAATTATTAAAAAAAAGTTTAACTGTCAAAAAAATCTCCTCCTTCGAAATCAACTCTGATCAACATCCAGAGACACATTAAATGACTGCATGAATACTCCATCTGGAATTGCTTACTAACATATAGTCTCTTAAAAAACTTTTTGAAACTAAATTGCAGCTTTAAATATATTGGGGTGGGGAAACCCACAAATTTCTAGTGCAATTTATGCAAAAGTTAAGTATATCAATGTTAAAAGGGGAATATTATTGTATGCTGGATATGTATAATATATCGATATAAGATTGTCAGGCACTTATATATTACTGGGTTACACTTATGATTAAGAGGAATGAAGAATTCAGATAGAATGAATACACACTGTAGGAATGCACTTTCACTTCTGAATAGTTTGGTCACAATGCCTCACATATGCAGAAATTCCAGCTTCTACATTGCTGTGAAATCTACTATATATTGCAGGATGCCAAAAGTGGTGGATGCAATGTCCCCATCCCGTCCGGTGGGAAATTTTCACTGTGATCTTTTTTTGTAATATACGTTGACAAATAATCCATGGATACACTTTTCAAAACAATCTTCTCTGTAACATTGTGCAGACACAGAATAAAAATATATCTTCCCTGGATAATATATTTGGGTTACTTAAATACGTATCTTACCATCCGAGCCCCTCTCTTACTTTATTATATATTCTTTGAACTTTCATTTGATCATCTTGCAATATGCCAAGCCGTCTCTCACCCTACACTCTTAAATACAGTAGTTTGATGCATAGATCACTATTTGATAATCTATTTCTACGATCTACTTAGTTTACAATATATATCCCTATACTGTATCTCCCTTTGGCCATTTAAAACATAATTCTTTTTATTAAGCAAATAATATTTTTCTTTATTCTTTTAAACGCAATCTCTCTTAAAATAAATCTAACATAAAACATATATATCTATATACATTAATGATCAACTTAAGGCTGCATGGAACAGAAGCAAGCTATCCTAGAGCACCTACATAGACATTCCATTGTAAGTTTGCTTGATCTGCTACCCCACCCGTCATCTATATTATCTTCCACAATAGTTGTGAGGCAACATAGCACCTCACAAAAAGAGTCTGGCCTTTCAGCAGATGACATGTCTGCCTCAGGAAGCAAATCTGGGCTCTCCTGAAAGGGAAGCAACTTGCCAAGGGTGTGGAGAGCTACATGAGGGGATTCTTTTGCCTATGTGTCAGAATATCTTTGCTGACTTTAGATATGGTGCAACCTGGGGTAGGGGGTGCATGTGTGGAAGGAGGAATGCTCCTTGCTACTTTGCTCACACAGCATGCCAGTCTTGGCACATGCGCAAAATAGTACATGCAACTTTCTCAATTAGGAAAGAATAGTATCCTCTCCTCATTTTGAACATTATGTTGGAATTAAATAAGGAAGGAAGAGATCCTATTTGCCTTTGTGTGTTCCTCAATATATTCTGCCCTATGTCCCTATGTTGGGGAGAACGTAGAAGATATTCTCCCATCACTGACTATTCTTGCTGGGTCTAATGAGAGTTGCAGACCATCAGTTTCTGCGGTGCACAGACACTCCTAACCACATTATTTTCAATTTAGACACTAAGACAAGATATGCATCTTACTGATCTCATAGTTTTATGTCTAGCCATGTATTTCATTGCTCCACCAACAGTGAAAAAAAAATACTGGGAAGATACACATGGAAAAAAAAAATCTAAAATAGATCTTAACATATATTACCTTTGATTGCTACTATTACTTCATTACTACGCTACGCCTGCAATCCTACATATGCTCATCTGAAAGTAAGTACTAACAGACTCGGTGGGATTGATTTCAGAACATAAGCTATAAGACTGCACTGTCCAGGTAGTCCTCAACTTACGACCACACTTGAGCCCAAAATTTCTGTTGCTAAGTAAAACAGTTGTTAAATGAATGTTGTCCCATTTTATGACCTTTCTTGCCACAGCTGTTAAATGAATCACTGCAATAACACAGTTGCTAAGTGAATCTGGTTTCTCCATTGATTTTGCTTGTCAGAAGCTCGCAAAAAGTGATTGCATGGCCCTGGGACGTTGCAACCGTCATGAGTCAGTTGCCAAGCCTCTGAATTTTGATCACATGACCATGGGGATGCTGCAACGGTTGTAACTGTGAAACACGGTCATAAGTCATTTTTTTCAATGCTGCTGTAACTCTGAATGGTCACGAAGTGAACTGTCGTACCCCAAGGACTACCTGTAGTTCCACAAGAACTTGATTTCCTTTTATTTGAAAGGACAAAACAAAACTAATGCTCATCTTGCATGGAATTGAGGTGGATAAAGGAATATTCTCAAGGTCAATAAAAGACAAAAATAGGCTGATGCAGACACGATTAGGCAGAAAACTCAACTGCCTAATTGTTCTGTATCAACAGTTATTAATTAACTGAGGCACTGAACAGCGGTAAGGAAGCAAAAATCCCACTTCCTTATTTTCGTTGAGATACAGCCTTCTCTCAGTAATCTTGTTTCTCAAGTCAATTGTATATGCTAAAAAATATCTTCTCCAGTGCACCTGCACATAACATGTGTTACGTACACTGTCAAAAGCTGTACTTTTTTAGTAATTCACTCCTGCAATTTTCAGTATTGGCCCTTGTCACATGACGTTCCCTCTGACATCGTACTGGGATAGTCGCAGCACATCAAGAATAAAAATTACAAGCGTTGGGGATTCCATAGGTTAGGAAAACATATTGAATTGCCTTACTATTATGGCATAGGTGGGAAAGAGTTTAGCTTACAATTGGATTGTAGCTTAAAAAGCAGTTAGTAGGAGAAAGTTAACAGGCAAAGAGGATACTGCAATGGATTTTACAGTTCCCTCCAAAAGAGCCAAGCAGAATGCAGGAAACTGTTTTTTCAATGCAGGCTCACAGTCTAGATTAAAGAAAACATGGGATCTGTGTTTCAAAAAATGAGTTCATACATGCATCATTTAATAGCCATGCTTTCTCCACTGAAAGCTGATGCTTCTAAATTGTGGATGGGGATGAGGGTCATGGATCTAGGCAAATCTGGATAAAGTGGACAAGGAAAAGCTATTTTCCTCTTCCCAAAATACTAGAATCAAATTGAATGTATTGGAAGAATCAGGACTGATCAAAGGATCTTTCTTTCTTTCTTTCTTTCTTTCTTTCTTTCTTTCTTTCTTTCTTTCTTTCTTTCTTTCTTTCTTTCTTTCTTTCTTTCTTTCTTTCTTTCTTTCCTTCCTTCCTTCCTTCCTTCCTTCCTTCCTTCCTTCCTTCCTTTTTTTACACAGCCTGTAATTACATTTTGGAATTCAGTACTATGAGATGTGGTGCTGGCTACCAGCTTGGATGGCTTCACAAGAAAAAAAAAAGGCTGGATCAATTCATGGAAGTCTTGGGGATCTATGAATTGATGGCAGTGTGACTTTCCTGAATTTGCTGGGAGACAAATGAGCTTCCTTATGTAGTTGGTTCACCAAATAACATTCTGCTGGACTAGACGGGGCAAGGGGTCTGATCTAGCAGGGCATTGCTTATATTCTTAACTACAATTTAAAAGAGACTGTTGTAGGTAATGCCTTTTATCAAATGGCCTAATTGTCTTGAACACTTCTTTTAAACACATTCTAGGTAAAGTAAAGAAACATTAGAAAGTAGGAAGAGGGTTGAAGAGATCTTGTTTTGTATTAATTGGAAAACAGCCCTACTTTTGATTGTGGGAGTCAATTCTAATTGAATGAACAAAACAGTTTTATAAGGAAATATACGCTTGAAAACCAACAATTCCACTGAGAGGCACTATTAGACCCCACATTCATAGTATACCAGACATATTCTGGTGACCGATATAGCTAAAAACATCATGTGTAGAAAGGGCACAGGCAATTTACGCTGTTTGGTCTACGCGGAGGACAGCAGCTTGATTGGATTCTTCAGAATATTCCATTTCTCCACTGGTTGGCTTGTTTCTATCTTCATAAAGTTCTTGTCTGATTTCTAATGAAGCTCTATAGTCATCATCTTCTTCAACAATTGCAAGCTCAATGTTGTTGTTGATCACCACCTCTCCTTCACTTCCTGACTCTTTTTCCAAGGAATCAGCAAAGGCTTTTCCTTCTTCAGCTGGAGAAGAAGAAGAGACTGGATCTGAAGTGAGGGTGGTCTCTTCAAAGACTGCATGCTCACTACCAGTAGCTTCCACTGGCTTGTCTTCTACTTCTATGGATGTTTCTCCATCACGGATTTTCTTCACGTTGAATGTCAGGGGAGAGACTTTGAAAGATGAGCTTTTGGATGAAGAAGACTTCTGATGGTTAGGGGTAAAAGACTTCTTGATCTTCTCTCTCCGTTCAGGCGAGACAATCTTGGTGCCGATCTTGTTCATCTTCTTTTCAATATTTTGACGGGAAAATGCTTTCTTCAGGCTGTCAACCTTTTTAAGGCTCGATCTCTTGATTTTCTCAGCTCTGGACTCCTCTATTTTCTCATCCATACTGTCTTCTGCAAGGTCATCGTGGGGCACTTCATCCTCTGAGGATAACTCCACGGTGTGCAAAGTTTCTTCCAAGGTTTTGTTCTCATCGACAGGCTCTTCCTTCCCATCAGTAATACTGGGAACCGGTTCTTTCACAAATACGCTGGCAGGGATTTCATTTTCTTCCTGTAAAGAGTTGATATGTGTTTATTTAAGCATCACAAGACACAGACTTGATAAACAAGACACAGCCCTGAATAACATCAATATTTTTCCTTTGGGGTAATGAGGTAAAGGAAGTTGTTTTTGTGCCACAGTATATTCAACCAGTAACAATCACTCACTTCCTATGGAACCGTTCTTTTATACTGCGTGAAAGTAATGAGTTTATGAGCTGTCATCTACTATTAGAATAAAATACATTTTAGTCAACATGGCTATTAGAGACTAGTGCAGCTGTAATCATGCCAATATCTTAACATCATTAAAAACAGGATGCAAGATCACTCCCAATTTCCCTATCACCCCTTCTCTTCTGGAACAGAAATCCTCTCCTGTTAGCTTGAACTTCAATCAACGATATGTCAATATAAATGTTAAACAGTTACCCCAAAATCCTTGCTTAGCACAGGATATGAAATGATGTGGTTGGTGGACATGAATTAAACACTTGGGAGCATTGCTTCCCCTGGCCAAAATTTATTCTCTCAGTACTGGGTTCAACTTACTCTTCTGATATGGATTCAGGATTACTTTTCTATCGTGGCATTACTCCTAAAAGAAGTAATCCAGAATGATACAAACTGTTCTTGACTTTTGCTTCTTCAACAGATGCAGCATTGACTTACCAAATTGGTAAGAATGTCAGAACTTTGAACTTGCTACAATAAGTGTATTTTTGACCTGAGAAGTATAACCTTTACTCTGAGATATGTGGGCTTGTGGCAAGTGAATTTCTTTATGCATTTTTTCAGATTAACTGGTTTCCCTTCCCATGCCTGCATTGTTCAAAATAGGCTGCAAACAGAACTTTGACCTCAAAACTAATTATAAGAACTTGTGCATCTGATTTTTACAAAGGCAAAACACTGACCTATCAGAACACCAATATTATGCCCGGAACTTATTCCAATTCTGGCTCCTTAGTTATTTTGGACTACAACCTTCTATCTAGCATGGGCTGCATTAACATGTGGTATTGATGGGTGGCAGCCATTAAGGTCTGAAATTGCCCCCCAGAATAGTATGGTCTATTCACATCTGGAAGGTATCATTCTCTATATATCCATCCATCATCCACATATCCCTGTTGAACAACAACCAAAAATAATACTGAATACCAACAACATTTTTGAATATGTGCAGATCTCTAGGACAGCAGCCCCAACCTTTTTTTGTATCAGTGAACGGTTTGGGGGGAAATTTTTTTTCTACAGACTGGCGGTTGCTGAATGGGGAGAATGGTTTCGGATACTACCCAGATGCCATGCAGGCACAGATAAAGCTTCGCTCAATAATAATAATAATAATAATAATAATAATAATAATAATAATAATAATAATAATAATAATAATAATAATAATAATAATAATAATAGTAGTAGTAGTAGTAGTAGTAGTAGTAGTAATAATAATAATAATAATAATAATAATAATAATAATAATAATAATAATAAAGTTGGAAGGGAACTTGAAGGTCATCTAGTCCAACCCCCTGCTCAGGCAGGAAACCCTAAACCATTTCAGACAAATGGCTGTCCAGTCTCTTCTTAAAAACTTCCAGTGTTGGAGCATTCACCACTTCTGGAGGCAGGTTGTTCCACTGGTTAATTGTTCTAACTGTCAGGAAGTTTCTCCTTAGTTCTAGGTTGCTTCTCTCCTTGATTAGTTTCCATCCGTTGCTTCTTGTCCTGCCTCCAGGCGCTTTGGAGAATAGCTTGACTTCCTCTTCTTTGTGGCAATTTGCATGGCCAGTTCCTAACAGGCTGCAGACCAGTACCAATTTGTGGCCTGCTCTAGAAGAAACCACAGGGGTAAACCAATGGTATTTGTCACATTATTATTTTTGTTTTACTTTTAATATTGATGGTGCTTTGTTGTATTTTGCAATATTATATGTGGGCTAATCAATGGCCATAAACAAGTTTTCCTTTACTATTATTAGAACGTAAAGAGTCCATCCCGAATATTAAAGAGGAAGGAAGATAAACACCATTTGAATTTGACCTTGAAACATGTGTATTCTCTTCTAATTTTTGCCACACTTGATACAATAAAACTAGGCACATAAACTTATTCTTTGTTTCTTGCTTTTTTTTTCTTTATAGTATCAAGACGGGAAAAAAAGGTGACTAACACTCTGTTGCTATCAACTCCTTGAAAATTATAAACTAACAAACCCACTGTTAAAAAAAATTGTGGCAGGAAACAATGGAATCAATTTAGGCTTAACAATAATGGAACCTTGAGATTAGGACATGTACTACCTAGAATGCTCCTGTACACATATTGGGAGGGTCATGGATACTCGTGCCAAGATGTGAATATAGGAGGGGCATGTGGAACAATCTAGAACAGACAAAATACAAATTCAGTGCAATTGATGGAGGATGGTTAAACTGCAAACGTTCATTGATCAGCTTCCTCAAGTTTCCTCAATATTATTATAGTGTTCTTATACATAAAGAGTTGAGTCCTTTTTTAAGCCAGCATCCTGAATGGTGTTATTCCAAAGGCTCAATATTTCTATGAGAATATCTTTGGCTTTGGGAATGACTGTTTATGGGAAAAAAGACCCACCTAATAAAGTTGTCTACAGCAAGGGTCCTCAACCTGTGGGCTGCCGCTGTGCTGCGGGGTGTGAAAACGGGACACTGCCACATCACGGGGTGTGAAAATGGGCCACTGTCGTGCTGTGGGGTGCAAAAATGGGACACTGCTGCACCATGCAAAAATGGGATGCCACTGCTCCGTGGGGCACAAAACAGGCTGCCGCCATGCCTCAGAGTGCAAAAATGGGACTCTGCCGCACCTCAGGACGCAAAAATGGGCCACCGCTGCACCTTTGGGCATGAAAATGGGCCACCGCCGTGCCTCAGGGCGCAAAAATGGGCCGTTGCCGTGCCTCGTGGCATGAAAACAGGCATGGGGCATGGGGTGCTGTGCCATGCAAGAATGGGACGGGTTAGTGAGTATTACGCAGGTGCTAGCCCGTCCCCGTTGCATTGCATGCATGCTTGTGGCCCTGTGCGCACGGGCATGTAAAATGCTTCTCCCTCCCTTTCCCTCCGGTCTGCCAACCAAGAAAGGCTGACCTCTGGTCTAGAGGACAGTTTAATATCATCTATTTTGCTTTAAATTGAGTATTATAGAAGCAAAGCCCCACCAAGCAACAAAATAATGATTAAACCAGTTCTGCAGTATAAATAAAACTCGTAAAATGTTGAAAATGAAAGATGGTACAGAATCAAAATGTGAGGAAGCCATTTTGAGCCTTGATATGTTTGGGAGGAGTTGTTAACAAAATAGAATATAGGAAATAAAAGGTGTGTAATGGCTCTCTTCTTCCACTTAGGAATTCAAGCAAGGCAATCACATTTTTATTAAAATTAAAATTAAATTAAATTAAAATAAAATAGCAAAGTATTCAGTATATTGAGTCTCCCTGCCACAAGGGAGGTTCAAAAGAGCTGGCTTTTATCAAGAACCAGATATATTAAAACCAGGACACCAATTTGGAGATTTGAAATCATGCTACTTTAAGGAGAAATGAAGCTATAGCTGGAAAGAGATGGCAAATGTGAAGAGGAAATATACTTCCCCCAAAGCACCTGAAGACAGAAGAAGCAATGGATGGAAACTAATCAAGGAGAAAACCAACCTAGAATTAAGGAGCAATTTCCTGACAGAACAATCAATCAGTGGAACGACTTGCCTCCAGAAATTGTGGGTTGCTCTGTCACTGGAAGTTTTCAAGAAGAGATTGGACAGCCATCTGCCTGAAATAGTATAGGGCAGTGGTGGCGAACCTTTTAGAGACCGAGTGCCCAAACTGCAACCCAAAACCCACCTATGCATCGCTGGGTGCCGGGTGGGCGTGGCCACCGAGCGGGCGTGGCCACCGAGCTGTCGGCTTGTGCTCACTCACTCGCTCGCTGTCCGCTCCGACTCGTGCTCGCTCTCAAGCTGTCTGCAGCAAATGCTGCTTCCACAGAAAGTTGCTCCTTTTATAGCCTCTTGCCTATTCCCAGACTGGGCATGCTCGGAGAGGAGAAGGGAGCAGCTCGGCCCAGCAATGGCTCGCGTGCCACCAGAGACGGCTCCGCATGCCGCCTGTGGCACGCGTGCCATAGGTTCGCCACCACGGGTATAGGGTTTCCTGCTTGAATAGGGGGTTGGATTAGAAGACCTCAAAGGCCCCTCCAACTCTGTTATTCAGCAAAAGATAGCAGAAATAGTAGTAATGCTTCATTGTTTTGGCATGGAAAGCAACTATAATTTCTGCATGCCAGAAAAGAAAAATATGCTAGAAGACTCTCCACAAAATAAATGGGTTACAAAAGAGCAATTGAAGTTCTCATCTTGCTTCTCTGCTTTTGTGAAAATCTACTTCCGCATGGCATGTTACAGAAGCCATCAATGAACTAACAGTAGGCTTGCACAGCTTTGGAGCCTAGAATTTTCCAGCAAGTTCAGGACTATTTTTGAAGTTGCTACCTGCATTATCTACTCATTTCTACACACTTCTGTCGTTCTCTTGGCTTCTGTTCATTTCCAACCAGATAATGCTCACCAGATAAAACTCCCCTTCATGTTGTTAGGGAAAGAACAAGGGGAGAGAATCTTTTGACCTAGAACAAGATAGGTATGCCAACCAAAATGTTGCAATTACTTTATTCTGTTCCCTGGGAGAAACTAATCGCAAAATGCAGCAGTTATAATGTTGCATTTGCCTGTTAGATAGTGCCATTCTCTTGCCAAAAACGGTTTCTAGGAAGAAAGGTCACTGCCTCAGCTATCTCGGGGTGAGTATCTTGAATTTATTGCATCTTGTACGTGGTTAAGAAGTTGGGGCTTTTCAGATAACGCCGGTGAAAATGCCAAGTCGGAATTTCAAATATAAGTGATACACTGTAAAAATTCCAGAACTTCTTTCATGAAGCTCCGTTTTTCCCAAGTAAAGAAAT